TGAAGTATATTCAGCATCCTAGTTAGCTGTGCAGGCTATCTATCCTTACCCTCTTTGTTGTTTAGAGCGCATTTGCGTGGGGTTTAGGGTAGCGACCGAGGTGTATACGGGCGTTTAGGTAACGATTAACCTACCGTAACCTATCCTAGATTGCTGAAGTATATTCAGCATCCTAGTTAGCTGTGCATGCTATCTATCCTTAACCTCTTGGTTGTATAGAGCGCATTTGCGTGGGGCTAGGGTGACGATCGGAGCGTAGCAAGGTTTAGTTTGATCCTATAACCTTTGATACCGATCCTAGTTTGCTCGAAGAACATTCAGCATCCTAACTAGCTGTACAAGCTATCGAACCTAATTCTTGAAATAGACTCTAACGCGAGAATTGAATTAACAGATAACACGACACATAGATTATACACGACAACGTTTTCTTCCGCGTCTGGTAGGGTAACGATGATGAGTGAATAGCGACAACTGGTTCGCACATTTCACTGAGTTACCCTATCATTTCAATAAAGAAATTTGATTAAACACAGACGATTGATAATTTAGATTATTCGAAACGAAATTAATATTGAGTGGGATTTCAGAACAACAATATTTTGTTGATTCACATCGACCCCTGGAAATTAAACCCAGCACTGCTGAACTATCTTTGGCGATAAGATAACGAAATCGACACACACACAGAAATTCCCTCACAGTATCACGATCTTGAATCAAAACATGGATGAGGAAATCAAGAAATACAAAAGTGACAAACATGTTGCATTTGCACACTGTATATCTGCAGATGTAAACAGTCATGGAAATATGTCGGCAGGAGTTGCCGTTGTTTTTCGGAAGCAATTCAAAAGACCTTCTCCATCAGATTTTCTCAGCCACCACCTTACATGTCAAATGCCTGCTGATTCTGCTGTTGTTTATGGTCTAGTGACTAAGGCTCAGTACAATCTAAAGCCAACGGATGAAGATTACCTTACAGCATTCACGCAGATGGAGGAAGATTTCAAGAAAAAAAAACTGAAAGAATTAATATGCTCCCCCATGGGCTGTGTTCGTGACAACATCAAGCTAGAACTGTTTGCCAAGAGAATTGTCAAATTCCAGAGGAACACAAATGCTCAGGTAAAGATAGTTACATACGAGCAGCCTTCGGCCAAAAGGGTTCTATTTCAAGGGTATCCTCATTTGGAATTCATCAAACGCTTACAACAGCTCATCTCTACTGAAAGCTTGATCCACACTGACCCAAACTCCAGCAGTTCACAAGTCTCGACTTCTAACTCTCCTAAATTGGATACTGATTCTCCTTCTACAGTGAACCCACCAACCCCTTCATCAACCTCTTACTGGAAAGGATGGTCTACTCCTATGGCACAGACTCCAGACACCAACAACAGATGGCTACAACACACATCAGACTTCCCTTCTCTACCTACACCGTCATTTTCAAGTGCAAATGTTTGTGATAAAAGTGAAGTCATCTGTTCAGAAAGTCCGAGTGAAATTGTACAAAAAGCTGTTGGGTGTGTTGCTTTTGCTAATAAACCACTGGTCTCCGATTTAAACTCCTCGGCGTTACATCGGAAAAACCCTATTTGAACAAGGTAGCTAGTTTTCCAAAAAAAAATAACTAATACTATTCAATCCACCTCAAAAAATAACTTACCTTTCACTGTTTTTCATCAAAATATTGAAAATTTAATAAGGCGCATTGAACCTTTGCAAATTATATTAGATGAAATAAATCCTAGAATCATAATTCTCACCGAACATAATATCAAAGAAGATGAATTAAAATACCTTAAAATTAATAATTATGTTGTAAGTGCTTGTTATAATAGAAAATCTACGGTAAAGGGGGGTGTAATGATTCTCTCCGAGGAGGGTATCTCTGGTAGGCCGGTGGTCTTGCCAACATCTGATACATGTTTGGGTGAAGATAAAATTTTTGAATTCTGTGCTGTTAGTTATAAGTTAAATGGTTGTAAAATTATTGTAGTTGGTCTGTATCGCTCACCCTCATCAGATCCATTTGAATTTTTGAAACGCCTAAATGCATTAATTAACATTTTGATTAAAAGATGTAAATTTATTATAATTGGTGGGGACATAAATATCAATGTTTTGGTGGATTCAAGGGAGCACTTAGAACTTAAGAATGTATTAAAGAGTTATGGTATGAAGTATCTTGTAAAATTTCCAACTAGAGTAACTTCTACAACTGCCACTTGTATTGATAATTTTATGTCAAATATTCCCACAAATGTAATAAAAACTGAAGGTTTAATTTCTAGTTTATCTGATCATGATGCACAAATTATTGAAGTAAATTTAGCAAATTCTTTTAGAAATGATAATGAGTATATAACGATGCATAAAAGAAGTTTTACAGAACAAAATATAGCAAAATTTTCAAACATGTTGTCTGTAGAAAATTGGTTAAATGTATATTGTGCCCCAGTTGAAATTAAGTTTGATGTATTTCTAGATATTTTTTATATTATTTTAATATATGTTTTCCAAAAGTAAAATGTAGGAAACCCCGTAAAAATAAGAACAAATGGATAAATTATGATTTGTATGAGTTGCAATCAGAGCTAAAAAATTTAACTGAACTAAGCAGGTCATCTCATGATCCTAATTTAGGTAGGAGTGTCAAGGAGAAGAAAAAGGAGTATAAAAAAAAGATTTTTGACAGTAAAGTTAAACATTACGAAAAACAAATTAGAGAATCTTCAAATGTTAGTAAAACTACTTGGAAAATTATTGGAGAAGAAATTAATATTAAAAATAAGCACATTGAAACAAATATAGCACTGAACTCTGGTGGATCAGAAATAAAAGATCCTTGTTTGGTTAGCAATATGTTTAATGATCATTATATTAATCTAGTTGAGACAAATGTAATTCCTAAGTTGAATCAAGTTGCAGCTTCTTCCAACATTTCTTTGCCTAATTATACTGATAAAGTTTTTGTTCCAACTAGTATAGAGCCTCATCAGCTGGAAAAAGTAATCATGTCCTTCAATAATAAGTTTTCAACCGGTTATGATGATATTCCTATAACAATCATAAAACATGCCAGAACCTATCTGTTACTACCGTTGTGTCATTTAATAAATTCATCTTTTATATCAGGTATTTTTCCGGACAAGTTAAAAATTTCTAAAGTAAAACCTCTATTTAAGGCAGATGACTGTAAAGAAGTTTCAAATTATCGCCCACTGTCATTACTTCCTGTTTTTTCCAAAATTTATGAACGAGTTATGGCTATTCAGTTAACAGAATTTTTAGAGTGTAACAAACTGTTAGACAAAGAACAGCATGGTTTTAGGGCCGGGAAATCAGTAATAACTGCCAGCATTGATTTTATTGAGTCAGCTTTAAATTCTTTGGATAAGGGTAATAAAACAATTGGTATTTTTATGGATCTTAGTAAAGCTTTTGACAGTGTATCACATTCAAGCCCACTTGTAATTCTTCAAAAACTGGGAATAAAAAATAGGGCTTTTTCATGGTTTGACTCTTATTTAAAAAACTGAAAACAGTTTGTTGAAATTAAACATATTAATCATTTCAATCAGTTAATACACCGTAATTCGAATATTAAAGATATTAAGTTCGGAGTCCCTCAAGGCTCTATTCTGGGTCCATTACTTTTTCTATGCTATCTTAAGGGTTTACCTAGCATCACACCTTTTAATAATATCACAATGTATGCAGATGATATAAATTTGCTGATATCACGTAAAACTCTTGATGAAATCGAAGTTTCCGCTTTTAACCAGATTTCAACCTTAGAACAGGCTCTTAACGAAAAATGCTTGCTACTGAATCCTAATAAAACTAAGTTCATCACTTTTACAGCTTGCTCTAGAATTAGACCTGCACCTGAGTTGACAATATTTCTTAATGATCATGTGTTGGAAGAGGTGGATAATTCTAGATTCTTGGGCCTAATAATTGACAAAAACATTGTCTCAAAACACAAAATTTCCCGATTTCTCTTTAGACCTTTTTAAAGAGCTTAAAAAAACAAATAACTTAGTATATAAAAGTATTTTTGTTCGATTATATTAACGGAGAAAATTAAAAAAATTGTAAATTTAAAATTCCCATGTTATTCTTATGGAGAATATTGTCAAATGTTGTAGTTTGCTTGTTTATGGACATATTTTGATCAAACTTGGCAAATTTATTTATTTTGTACTAAGCTATCAATATTTTACTCAAAAACACACTTTATTAGTTTCCTTGTAGCAGCAAACCTAGGTACTAGTTAAACCTAATGTTATTAAAATATATTTAACTGAAAATCAATTCAGACAAATGGAAATTCGCTTAGTCGGCAGGTTTGCTGCGGCGGGGGTATTTATGATGACTATAGTTTTGGGGCAATCAGCCCCATTGTCAAATCATCTGTCTTGTTAATTACTGCTAAAAGCATTAGTCGTTGCATTCCACATTTAGTAATTCAAACTCAGGACAAAAAGTATGCTTGTTGAAACATGAACGGACGCTCTTATTAATGTTCCCACAATGTGTTCATTAGTCTCCATTCTCTCAAACTCTCTACACTTTAAACTGGCACCTCCATAATTTGAATGTTATTTATCTGACCTCTATAAATCAAACGCACTATATCTCAAACTTCTCATAACTCAAAATATAATCTCTTTCCTCTGAAATTTGAATTAGCAAGGTTCTACTGTAGTATGCTTAAATTTATAATTTAATTAAATTAATTTATATGTGTAGAAACACCAGCTGTCCATTAGCTTATCCTTCCAACAAAACTCAACTGTTTTTATTTATTACCAATTTAAGGTAGGGGCGCAAGTGTGCACTGCTGCGGCCGGTCATTATGCAACAGCAGCATGTGTTGCGTTTGCACAGAGAAGTAGGATGCAGAGTATACGATACAAGCTTAAACTGTTTGTGCCCAACTAATATGTCTTTAATGAGAGGATTAGGGGAAAAAAACTCAAGGATCATTTCTTTTGTTCCAACTTTTGAACAGAGTTTTATTGAAAACAAATCTGTTTATGCATTTGTTACAACAGTCTGAGAACAAACTTATGTCTTTTTTATCTTTACACATAAAACTAACATAAAATAATGAAATATGAGTTATAAAATAATGTTTAAATGACAACAACATAAACAATATGTAAAATAAACAATAAATAATGCTAAAAGCGAGTACATATTAAAAATCAACAACATATTACAGACATAACTTTGCTCTCAGAGATTTATGATGATCATTAAAAAAATGGATACTAACATAGCATGAACAATAGTGGGTGAATAAGTAGCAAAACTTTTGATTCGGCTGTGGCTTACGATACTACGATCGGAATAGATATTTGATGATCAAATAATGTTACAATAAAATAGTGAACAAGAATCAAGTGATTAAAACTGAATTCAAACGCTCGTACTAGGGCGTGACACACACTTATCACACACACACACACACTCTCTTTCTCTCACTCACTCAAACATATATTATTAAAAATCTCATAGATACATAAAGCTTTCTTCATATAATTTGCAATTTTATAACATTTTAAAAATAATGAATTATTTGAAAAACAGTGGAACTAACTAACTACAGAGAGTAGACATGGAAACATGCACAGCAACGAAGATTATAATAGAGTCGTGCACCAGCACGCTTCTGTACTCACACATTCAATTCTACACACTTTTAAATAGATTTACAATAGATTTTTAAAATAATTGCAAACATTTTATCCTGCTACTGTTAAAAAACTTAATAAAAAAAGCATTTATTTAAAATAAAAACTCCGATGATAGTTTATATACCTAGACTTTAGCTTTGCGGTCAAGAGATTGGCGACAATGATTTAGTTTTTGCACTTCACTTCTGTACATCGACAAGCTTATACAATGTTCAGTTCTTGAAATGTGTGCAGCGAACAGTTCAAGCCCCTAAAAGCACCTACGTTGGCCCACAAAACTTGACACCGGCAGTGACTTTCTTGCTTGAGAGTCGTATGTGTGAATGTTGGCAGTATCTGAAACACATAGATATCTCATGCTAGATTATAGATTTTAATAATCACATATATTTGTTTACACATACCATACTTTGGGAACAGTGTGTTAGTGGATTGTGGATATAATAAATGTATATACAACTAAGAGGATCTCATATTAAAATTAAAAGAATAAGTATATGGGTTGTAAGAGTGTAAAGATCTAAAATATGTCAGGTCAGTTTTGGTCTGGACTAGGAACCCAACATGCAAATTATATAAATTTTGATTCAAACCAGGAAACACCCAGCATTTTTAAAAACAATGAATAAAATGTAAAATTCTATATTTTTCCACAACATATTGTCAACATATCTCTTCAAAACAAAATTGATAAACTTAATTTCACCAACTTCAAAATAAGTTACCTTCAAGGAATACAACTCTTATCTGGTCATGGCTATATCTAGCAAAAGGTTTCTTCAAAAAGCACTGATTTACTTAAAAGAAAAAAAGCTGGTTTTAATTTAAGCTGATTTACTAAGCTAGCAGACCTCTAGAAATAATCAAACTTCCTTTTGGATATTTTCGTAATATCTCCATTTTACCTTTGATTTGGTATTTATTAAATTAATATAAGGATTTAAACTTAAAACTGTTGCTTTTTATATTTTTTCATTGCTGCATTAATTTCCTTCTTAAGTTGAAAAACACTCCATTACCCCAAAATTACTTAAGACATAACGACATGGATGGTGTAGGGTAACCAACCCATACAGAACATTCGGTAAAATAAAAAAAAAGTGGCTTCAGTATCAAGAACTGTTAAATTTTGGTATTGACACAGTACTTTTTATTAAATTATTGTCAAGTCACCTTTATGCTTCAGCTATCTTTTTCTTTTCCTTCTTTTTCTTGAGGAAAGATGGAGTTCTTAACCCTTTCTTCTTTTTCTTATCTTTTTTGGGTGATTCTTCTGTAGAGATATCTTTTGTAGGGGAACCCTGTGAATTAAAATACCACAATAATGAAAAAAGAAAATAATGCCAATTAATTCACTTGAATCTAAAAACAGCTTTAATGGAAATAAACTTCATTTCTTAGTCAAGACTCGGCACCCGTCATGTGTATAGGTACCTACCAATGTTTGTATGCTTATAGGTCTTGTCCACTATTTAAATGTTTAAATGTAATTTTTGTAAACTTTGACGTGTGCAATTCCAATTAAAGAATGGTTTAATCTCTTCAAGTTTTGTGACCTAATTATGATGCTAATGCATTGAAACGCAGAGTCTAGTATAGGGGCAGAGGAATCACGAGGCAGTTACAGGTATTTTATCTGTACTATAAACATATATTTTAACTGTGTATGTCTTTTTATAACATTACTATTTACTATATGTCCCACCTTCACATTCTAGGACGCTAGGTTCAACCCAGAACTGATTTACAAATGACTTCAGGCTAGTCCTAGTTGTGGCGTTATCACATAGATAACATCCATTGGTGATTGGCGGGATTTGAACCCCAGACCTCAGGCACCGAAGCCCCACGCTCTACCACTAGACCAGCTCGCTCCCCATATAGTGTATACTGTATATACTAATAAGTGAAATATCCTAGTTTTCACTAGTATAATTTTTCACAGCTCAAATGGTATTGTAAATTTTTAGATTACATACAGCTAATTTATGCAAAATACATTTTAAAAAAATATTCATATTATAATTTTAAATACAGATTAACCCATTGGTGCCGACTTACGAGCGTTACTCGCAAGGCCGCTGCAGGCCCGGCGGCCGACTTACGAGTGCCGCTCGTGTCACCGCTACGCAGCGCCACTAGTTATTTAATTATTATTATTTTCCCCCTTTTTGTTTTTTCTTACTTTTATAATGTTTATAAATATCTTGCTCCTTGATTTGCGTATTTACTCATTTATTTTAGCGAATAACAATTTTTTTGGAAACTAGATATCACCAAAAATCAGCTGCGGTAAGGTAAACAAACACATTTTTTTCTACGTTATTACTTATAAGAGTACACAACTTTAGATTTTTCTATGTAGGGAATCAATTGAACTTTATAATAGTAGTGTTACTTGGTGTCTGGATTAACCTTGGAATTTGTTAATTAAGTTTACTTCCAAAAATTGTTTTTAAAATTTTTATTTTTATAATCTTTATAATTTTTTTTTTAGTTTTACACTTTGACTATGCAATTACCACTTTTCTGTAGACAGTTTTTCTGTAAACAAAATGGTGAAAGAATTATTAATTTATTACCTAAGGGTTTCTTTCTATAAATTCTGTAAATTTAATTGCCGACAGAGGGTGCTGCAGGCAGCGCATTAATTCCTTCCCCAATGGGTTAAGGTAGGTAATCTCTACTTTAAGTAAAATTGGTTTCGCCAAAACATTTTTTTAAAAATAAGTTATTTTTAGCCAGGTTATTATACAAACTTACTGTTTAGAAAGTATGGCATCAATTTTTTTGTAGCCCTATTACGATTATTAGGGTTTCAATTACAGAATTTTCTTAGGATCATACCTTAGTATTAACAGGAGCATTTGTATAACAATCTTAAGCCTTAACTTATGCGTAAAGACAGTTTAAGCTATCCAGACCTAATGAGTTAATAGGCAAGATCATGTTACACACATGTTAAGTAGAGACCTGTCTCTGCTCAAAAACCATTCTTTAAAAACTAATGTTAGTATCTTACTAATTATGAAAATATACATTTAACTTGTTTGTTCTTAAGTACAAAAACCCTTGATGAGATTTTGAGGGGAACGGGGTTTTAAATTTTATTTGTTTGCGGGATGCTATTAATTTATTGTTGATCGATGGGTTAAGACAACTCAAACATGGTGAAATGGAGGGAGAAATTGTTGTGTATTTCCGTCTATTCTAGCAATGATCTTTCATAATTGATGTAAATTCCCATGAATTTGTTTTAGGCATGGACGGGTGACGAAATTTCAGAAAATTTGCGGGGAAAAATATTCACGGTTTTTGGGACGGTATTTGATCTGATCGTCGGCGATTTTTCCGCTTCGCAAGTGACGATGACAGCGCTATCGCGGGAGATGTTCTAAATAGCTCCGTGACCGCCACAGGCGAAGTAATCTCGACGATCACGCCATGACCGTAAATCATTTTGGCGATCGCGCCATGACCGTAAATCATTTTGACAATCGCGCCATGACCGTAAATCATTTTCACGATCGCGCCGTGTCGCGGAGTCATACCTGCGACCACGCCGTGACCGCGGAGTCATACCGATGATCCCGCCGAGACCACGAGTGATACTGACGACGACGCCGTGACCACGGAGTCATTTCAACAATCCCGCCGTGACCGCGGAGTCATACTGACAATCCCACAGAGACCGCGAGTCATACCAACGATCCCACCGAGACCGCGAGCCATACCGACGATCATGCCGTGACCACGAGTCATACCGACGATCACCCCGTGACCACGGAGTCATACTGACGATCGCGCCGTGACCGCAGAGTCATACCGACGATCCCGCCGAGACCACGAGTGATACTGACAATCCCGCCATGACCGCGAGTCATACAGACGATCCCGCCGTAACCGCGGAGTCATACCAACGATGACGCCGTGACCGTGAGTCATTTTGACGATCTTACTGTGACTGCGAATCATTTTGACTGCGAGTCACAAGTTTCTATACCTGTAAATGTTTACCTAATTTTTTTTGGGTTTTTATAGATTGGTGCTAGAAATGGTAAAAATTGAATTTGTGCCATTAGCTGCAATACGGTACTCAAGACTTTCTTTTTATGCACAGGAAAAAATCCCGTCCCGTTATAATTAATTATCGGGAAATTAATAAAAATCCCGTCCCATCCCAAACTAAAAATTCAATCCCGTCCATCCCTAATTTTTTGTTGTTTTAGTATCTTTTTTATCAATTGAACATTTTGAAGTGAAGTAATGACTTTGTACCTAGTAACTGACATAAATTCCATTTTTAATTTTATAACAGTGATTTTTACATCATGGCTTATTAAAATCTATATGTCTGTAAATTGTGTTTCTTATTCTGGTTTAACTAGAAATGGTAGTAATGAATTAAGTTATTTGATTTAAATAAAAGCAACATAAATATTTGAGATAATATAGACGGATATAAGATATAAGAAACCTATAGATTGCTTCAAAGTAATTACATCCTTTAAAAACATATAAGTTATGAAATGTTTTGTATGTAAAAGTGATTTTAGTTTGATAACCTTCTCAAAAAAGCAAGCAAAACCTCTTCCAAGCAAACTTTACTTACTACCGGTTTGTTAAAGGGCACTTGTACTGGTAGACTGGCAAGCCAAGCTATAGTCAAGGGTAACTGAAAAAATTAATGTTTCAATTTCTGAATTGTCTTTTATATTTTATTGCAATTGAAAAAAGTAACTATGATTAATTCTCTGTCCAATTTCCCCTCAGTAATAATGCTAAAAATATTGGGTCAGAAATAATTCACTCTATCTATAGTTAGTGTAAGAGAAGAGATGGTACTTCCATAAGATCACATTTTCTAATGACTGTAATAACAAATTTTGCAATAACACTTTTATTGTTAGTAACAAATAGTAACCATAGTTAATCGTAGTTTCCTCCACTTAAAATCCTACAAGTACAACACCTCAATGGTAGGCTTAGGGTGATTTGGTTTAGTTTGGACTAATAACTCAACCTCCCTCAAAATGTTCTTTTTTACTTTCTCTCCCTATAGTCCTACGTAGTAGGCTATGTCAAGTATTGTTTTTGTCAAAATTTTTCAATTTTGGGTGGATATCTGTTTTGTCCATGAGAACCCAAAACAGTACTTTCAGAAGTGATTTCTGTGTTTGTGTGTGGATGTGTAAAGAGCTGCAGACTACACCTATGGTCCAATTTTGACAACATTTGGAATGCAGGTACTTATTTAAGGTAACTACGGGCGCTTTAAATTTTTAAACATGTTATTTTTTAATGGAGACTTTTTTATAAAAACTCATAGAAACAAATAAATTGGATTTTCACAAAAACAGCTTTAACAATTTTGATTGAAAACCCCCATACAGATAAAAAAAAAAAAATTTTGTGAATTTACCAAAACCCATTATTTTTACTTGTTTGACAAGCTAATGAGGGAAAGTATTTTGCTCATAGTGTTTATTCACTAAATATTAAAGTGAAAAGTAGTCTAATATTTCATTCTTAACTAGGGTGGTGTTGATTCTTGATACCGATTCTCAATACCACCGATACTTGACCGTTGGTATCGGTATTGACAATTGTTCGTAAAAAGTAAATTCTTATCGGCCGCCGGATGGTCCGGCCAGGTCTCAGGGAGACAAGTCATATCGTCACGGGCGAATGACCTTCAACAGGATTGAACTCGAATGTTTACTTTCCCGCCATAGAAGTAAACAATTCATGTTAGATTAGTTGACGGGTGCTTCTATGGGTGAATTGTTGCATATTACCTATGTAAAACTAGGTTACATAACCTCAAAAATACCAAGAACATTTTATAAATAGTTTTTCTTCAGTCTAATATGTTGAAATGAACTAAATATTTCGAACCATTTTTTTATGCGGTAGGTTCCCCCGTTATTGTTTTTGAAACACTACTGTTTATTTGACAAAAATAAACTAAAGCAAAAAAAGAAATAGCCATATTTAGCTTCAAGGTCAAGCTATCCGCTTGCACTGACAATCATCTGCTCTTTACACAACTGATGTCTGCTGTGCGCTTACTATCTCACAACAGTTTGTGATTGGGTGATTAGTAACCATGGCAACTTGTTGAATGCGTGGATGAAGAGAAACCAAAGAAAGAATACAAGAACAAAGAAGAAAGAATAAGCGGTGTTTTACGTCATCCATTGTTATCTTTATCTTATTCTACGACTGTCGTTATTATCTTTAAGACTAAGTACTATGATTTTATGCTGTTTTATGAGTTATCTAATGTTTTTATCAGCATTCTTATGTTCTGAAACAACACGTAGCAGTAGCCTATGTTGACTACGGTAGCAGTAGCTTGCAGTACTAGACTTTCTATTATTCTGTTCTTTACGTGATTTATTGCTATACGTACAGTGTTGAGTAATTTTTGTTACAGCGTGATTTTAAACGTTACAGTTTTTATTACTGAACCAAGGTTAATGACTTAACATATCACGATTGCGCAATACTGTTATTTGTATTTTGATTATGTAAAATGCACTACATCCGGTTAGTCCGGCCGTTTTGTAGTCCGGCCAGTGGTCCGGTCCCGAGGTGGCCGAACTATAGGGAGTCTACTGTATATTTAATATGGTAATTTTTCAATGTGTTAATAGGGGTTTTTAAACTTAAATTGGCTAGTTGAAAAGTGTCATTAGTGCATACATTTCATCCATTCAAAAATTTGGTAAAACATTAAAAAAATGTTTATCGGTATTGAGAATCAATTTTTCAGATATCGGTATCGGTATCAACACATCACTACTTTTAACTTAGTTCATTTCAACAAATTACAGTAGTTTGCCTTAGTTTAAAGTAGCCCAATGGTGATGGTGATATTTTGTAATTATCTTTCTCTTGCATATCTTGGAAAATTTTACTCAGTGTGTGTGGAGTTTCTCAGTGCATGTATAGGCTGTTGGAGCTATAGACCTTATTTGACAAACACAAATTAATTGAGCTTTACAGAAGTTTTCCGTGTTTGTAACTGGAGAAGTCAAAAGAATATAGTCACCATGATAATAAAAATTGGGCTTATGATTTCATATTAAATAAGTACATAGAAAGTTTATTTCCTTTTCAGTTTGGTACTGTACGGTTATTTTTAACAATGAAAATACATTGACCAAAGCAAAACTTCCACCATGACGGCTAATGACAAACTGAGTTGCGAGTCTCAAGATGTGACACTATAACTGCCCGTGGACAGTCTAAAATTGCTCACATCAGGTGTACACACTCATGTGCTCAAAGAAATGTGAGTGTGTGGACGAGGCTAACACCAACCTACTTCAAAATCAAGTATCACAATAATAAGTAATCAAAATAATAAAAAGGTTTTTATGGATAATTTCTGTCATCATTTAGGTCATTATGGATGTTCATAAATGCTTTTGTAGTTGTTGTCGTCTAATAAAATTGTGCAATGATAAGGAAAATTATGCTCAACAAACATTTGTTTGAATTACCGTAGGTATGAGCAGAACCGGAATATATCATCATACGTAAACAATTCATCCCATACTAATTTCAGAAGCTGCAACTAAAATCTTAATTGGATTGACTAAATAGATAAATTACATATTGCACCAGCAAGCGAATACTAGACCCAGTTCTCGATGACTAGAGAGATTGTTTAATAAGATGTTGAATGAATATACTTACATAGCCTTCTTTACTGCTATGTGAGAATGTACTCTGATGAGCGTCAGAATGGTCTCCATTGTAAGTGTTCTCTCCTGTAAACCAAACAATCAAAAATTTAACTTTTATCAATGTTTTACGCATTGTTTTGTAATACAATATGTATTCTGAAGTAAATACTTTGCCTATCAGATCAGCCATTATAAAAAAAAAGAGAATACATTATAAGATACCTAAATTAATAACTTATTATTATTTAGGGCTAATTTGGTATTATATACAGGAAGCTAAATTTACACACAAATTTAAATGCTTACATGTTTTGAAACTTGAAAGGTATTATTCCTAGAAACATCTTACTTACTGACATGGTAGGTGAATGAGTCAAATTTGCACAATTAATTGTATCTAACTTATTTTAATGTTAACAATGTGACTCTATGATGACTCTGTGTGTTAACTAATAAAAGTTTTTTTTTTGTAAATTGTTAATAGCTTAGTAAGAAATAAATGCATCTTCCAAATTTGATCAAAATATGTTCATAAGCAAGCAAACTACAACAGTTTACTTATTCTTCATAAGAATAACATCGGAATTTTAAATTAAAAACATTTTGGAATTTTCTCTCTAACCATGAGGCGCATAATAACACTGTAATATACTAATTTATTTGTTTTTTTAAGCTCTTAGTTTTAGAGGAAATTGCAAAATTTGATGTTTTTAGGGTCAAAAATGGGAAAAAATCATTTTTACCCCATAAACCCCCGTTCCCATAGCCCAATCACACTGGTTCGCGTACTCGTTCGGATAAATGTAGGTTTACACTTTTATATTAAATTTCATCAAAATCGGATCATTTTTGCTCGAGTTATCGTGCCAACGGACACACATACATATCTAAATAAATAAATAAATAAATAAATATATATATATATATATAGAATGTTTATCGGTAATGAAAATCAATTTTCAATCAATTCAGAAGAATTCAGGGTGTCCATAAAAAACGTTTCAGGACTTTGGGAATGAATCCTCAAACTAAAAGGAAGAAAAAAGTTTATGGGAAGGTATGTCCGAAAATGCATATTAACCCAGATATCCGCCATTTTTTTAAATACAAAAATATTTTTATCTGTGAAGTTTTTTATTCGATAATTATGAAATTTAGTAAACATGTTAACATACACAAGACCTATAGTAAAAAAAATAATAAAATTGTTCCGATTGTAAATTTCAAAATGGCGGCCGTTTGAATTTTTCTAACGTAAATAACTCAAAAACGGCTAATTCTATGAAAAAATGTCAAGAATACTTTGTTTTAGCACTTTTAATTTTCTATAAAACGATATCAAGATCAAAAAGATCGGACAAAAGATCACTGAAATATAACATATTTATATTAAATAATACAAGTTTTTTGTGTAAAAATAAGGCAAAAATTAAGGGATCCCCGACTAACTTTGCCTTATTTTTACACAAAAAACTTTATATTTCAGTTATCTTTTGTCCGATATTTTTCATCTTGGTATTGTTTGATAGAAAATTAAAAGTGCTAAAACAAAGTATTCTAGACATTTTTTCATAGAATTAGCCGTTTTTGAGTTATTCAAGTTAGAAAAATTCAAACGGCCGCCATTTTGAAATTTACAATCGGAACAACTTTATTATTATTTCTATTATAGGTCTTGTGTGTGTGTTAACAGGTTTACCGAATTTCATAATCATCGAATAAAAAACTTCACAGATAAAAATATTTTTGTATAAAAAACAAAATGGCGGATATCTGGGTTAATATGCATTTTCGGACATCCCTTCCCATAAACTTTTTTCTTCCTTTTAGTATGGGAATTCATTTCCCAAAGTCTTGAAACGTTTTTTATGGACACCCTGTATATATATATATGAATTTGAACGAATGGTGTTTTTTCTAGGGACCTCAAAAGGAAAAAGTAAATCCGTCCCGGGTCCAGGTCTTACCATGAGTACTACGGTAATAGCTTATTCCCTAAATGAGAAATTCTAAAATGTAGATTTGGTTAATAACTGTGTTTCTAAAGGAATAAATTAGTAATTTTAACGGTTTTGGTCAGTAGATGACAATTAAGTAGCTGTGTTTTTAACGGGAGACATTATTAATGTAAAATTTGTTTGCCATTACATGACTAACTACTAACTGTGTTACTACTAATGGGAAACACTAGTTAAGTCAGAATATGACTGATGTCTAACTGTGTTACTAATTTATGATGGGTGAATTAAGGTCTGCCAAGCCAACTAAGTGAACTAGACTGATATACCTGTGTTACTGTTAGAGAAGATAAAGAAGGCATAGCACAAACAACACATAATGCAAGACATAATGCACAACTTAAACAAAGGAAAAGAAAGGAAAGCAACCATTTACCTGTAAGCGTGCTTCATACATACTATCTTCACACATAAATAACTATCTTCAGCTGTACAAAAACTGTTAACTGGGACTATTAAGGTTGTATTCCAAAGTTCCAGTAAATATAATGTTACTTAATTGGTCTATAAATGTAAAATTATTAATTCATTATATTGAATTTTAGCCTCCTGATCACATTTAATTACTAAATACAGTAGAACCTCACTAATTCGAACATCGATAATTCGAAAACCTCTATAATTAGTAATGTTTGTCTGTTACCCTCAGAAAACCTCTATAATTCAAAAATAATATACCGATAATTCAAAGAGATTTTTTTGATTAATGCAGCCACTACAATTTGAATTTGTACATACTTGAGCCTCTAAAATTCAAATTTGTTGCCATAATTTGAATTGTTACCTCCAAAATTCGAAGTCAACCTCTACAATTCGAACTGTGTCACCGTAAGCCTCTGTAATTCAAATTTAGAACAACAAATATGCCTATTGAAACATGAACTGACGCTCTTATTGATGTTCCACGATGTGTTCATTAGTCTCCGTTCTCTCAAACTCTTTACACTTAAAACCGGGACCTCCATAATTTGAATTTTATTTATTCTGACCTCTATAATTCAAACTTCCTATAATTCGAAATATATTGTCTTTCCTCTGAAATTCGAACGAGGTTCTACTGTAATTGGTGTAAATACCTGCATTTATGTGATCAATGTGTTGCTAAATTGCAACCGGTATCTACTCACAAAGGAGTCGTACGTGTGCGTGTTAAATGTATTTTTTATCATGAATTGACGACCTTCGAATGAAGCAAGAAGACATCTGTACTAGCCCGACGATGACCCCTTTGTGAATCAAAACCGGTTGCAATTTAGCAACACATTGATCACATAAATGCAGGTATTTAAAACAATTATTTAGTAATTATTAGTTGGTTAGTACGCTCTACCTTTATACAGTGCCATTTAAGTGAGACAACCCAACCCAAGTTTAACATATTCACATGAAATCTTTAGTACCACTTTCTTTAATTGTTTCTGTTTGTATTAAGTTAATAAACTTACAGCAAAACATATTTTTGAAACAAAAAATTATATTTACTATACATTTATATTATTATTGTTTTTTCCCTGTCTGTTGGCAACACCACTTTTTCTTCAGAGTTTGACGATGACAATAGTATACATTCTTAAACTACAGGTTTCTATGGTGCCTTTACAATAAAGTTGCGACAGTATATATGCACTAAATAGTATCCCACTGATTTTTGGGTTTTAAAAGATTGTTAAAATGACTAGTGTATCTGATTTGAGCTTGGTTAGATCAAAATGGTGTCTCACACAAATAAATAAGACACAAAATACTAATTAATAAAATAAAATATTTTCGCTACACTACTGTGAAATGACACGTTTTCGTTGCATATTTATCACCTGCGAAAATCTATCATTACATTGTTTACTACGGCAAAGAAATGATTACTATGCAAAAGTAATGATTACTATCTTTCTTGGAGTTAATTATTTTATCAACTGTTTCAATGTTCAACAACTAAAGTAAACAATAGCTTTAAATTGAAGGCATAACCTAAAAAATTCTACAAGTTTTGTAATGAAGAAAATAATTATTCTTTGTAGTTTAGCGAAAAGTAACGTTCAAAACACGAGTGAAAGTGGGTCTATACATATTCTCGACCATTTAAAGTGCTCGATAAATCTCGCACTTCAAACATGGTCTCAAATATGTTGTGACTCACTTTCTGCTCTTGTACTATTACAAAAGTCTAGAATGAATGTTTTTAACAAGAGAATGGATGTTTTTAGCGTGCCATGAGATAGAATTACTCTGTGACGTTTATAAACATTGAGGTTTTGACTTGAGTCCAAAAAAACGGAAAATGGCTGTAAATCAACCAGTGTTCTCAATCAAGGAATCTGGAATCTTTTGAACTAAAAAGATAATGGGAAACCAAATAATAATTATTGTAAAGTAAGAATAACTTTGTATTCCATGTATTCTGATGCTAATGTATTTCTTAAATAAATTACAAATACAAATGTTTGTCTATTGTCTATTTTTAGTGGCAGTAGAACAATTAATAAATCTCACAAGCTTTATTATTTTACAACGATTACAAAAGAAATAGAGTTAAGTGTACACTATTTTTCAAGTCAAATAGTGTAATAAATTTGATTTCAAATGCATATTTCATGAACCACTAAAACACTACCGCTTCAAAGTTAATTTCTTTTGTCATTTCCCAAAACCAAAAAGAAAAAAAAAAAACATTTTAAGGTGACCTACACATTATTATCAGAGAATCAGGAACAACACTGTTATGCATGCATGTTATTAAGTGTATTTTTTATGATGGCTACTTTAAAGAAATAATTGTATATAAGCTAAATATTATAACGGTAACATTTAATAACTACTAACGGTAGGCGATTTAAAAAACATCCAGTTCACTCGTGCAAAAATACTCAAGTTACAGTCCAAAAATTATAAGACGGTAATTTTTGTATTTAGTTAATAGTTAATATATACTAAAGAAACCCAACCCAAAGCCTTAATCAATAATTCAATAATTTGCCATCAATAATTTGTTTGAAAACTATATATCTTGTTTATTTTAATTATGTTAGGTATTAACAATTGTTGTCGAGAAGTAACAACCTGTCACTG